GCGTGTACTGCACTACACTCCCGAACTGTCGATGACGATGATTTTTTCCCTGGGCAAGGAAACCCGAATTTATCGGCTCGAAGCGTTTCAGCAGGTCGGTGCGGAACTGCTGCCACGTGGCTTCGCCGTGGATGAAGGTACTGTTACCGCCGATCCACTCGAGTGCCGGCCCTCACATCAGTGTCGCCACGAGTCGTATGCGTTGACCATCCCAGATTGACGAGCTCCATCCGACGACTGCGAAGAAGATCTCCATGCCGGCGATCCATCCGCGGGCGTCAGAATTTCGATCGCTCGGATCGAACGGCTCAGGTGGGCGCGGTTTCGCAGCCTCGAGAAACTGCTGCGACTGCTGCGTCGTCGCCATTGTCGTGTCGTGCTGCACGCCGGCGAGTCAAGTTACTCGCTCAAACTCGTTTCGCCAAGCTTCACGATCGGCTCACATCTCCTCCTAAAGGGCAGCAATGCTCACAAAGAGCTGCTGGGTAACCTCGACGTTGTCGAAGTTTGCCATCCTATTCAAAACACGCACGGAGGGGTGAATTCAAAAAACGCGGAGCTGGTGTTTACCAGAATCGGCGCCGAATTCGTCGCCCCCGGCGGTTTTTTTTTAAGCAGGTTTTTCCGCTGCTCCTGCTTAGCTGAGCGCGGCTGAGTGAGAAAAGCTCTGATTACCAAGTGTTACAGGATCGAATGTGTCGAGGAGAAGTTGCACTATCGATTGATACAAGGCGCTTTTATACTTCCAAAGTACATCAGGTAACCAGGTTTATCCTATCCAAAGGGAATAGACCCTTCTAGAAATAGAATCACCCTGCGTATAGCCATGCGAGGCTATTGGCTTTAAGGGATTAGGATAGGATTACGCTAGATATAGCGCGCCAGTACATCCCGAGCCTGGTCAGTGATATAATTATAATAACAGGATAAACCAAATGATAATGGAATAGGAGAATTAGGAAACCAAATGAGATGAGAGAAAAAGAGGAATAAAATAGAAAGGAGATATGGAAAGGGAAATTGGTGTAACGGGGTCGTACTCTCACACTTCCCCCCCTCAAAGTTGGGTGGTAGAAGTAACACCCTGCTTCACAAGGTAGTCGCGAAGAGGACGACTGGCGTTACCCATCTCGGATTCAGAAATCCAAGTATCCTCAGAAGGATCATATGCTCATGGTCGTACTCTCACAGTCTCCACTCCGACCATGGCGGCGAGTTTGCCTCCGATCAGCTTGGCCGAATCTGTCGTGCAGAGGGCATCATGCAGTCGTACACCCTGCCAGACTCCTTGCATCAGAATGGGGTCGCTGCGCGACGCATTGATTTGGTCATGAAAGTTGCTCGTACCTCCATGATCTATGCTGGTGCACCCCATTTTCTGTGGCCGTTTGCAGTTTGCTACATCGCTCACCAGCTTAACCTGTGGCCACACTCTCAACGGCTGTAGGTTTCGCCGACGCTTCTCTGGACCGGGTTACCTGGTGACGCGTCAGTGTTCTACATCTGGGGCTGCCTTGCTCACGTTCGTGCCTCTGGCACGGACAAGCTCACTGCCTGCACTGTCCCATGTGTCTTCCTTGGTTTCCCCTTAGACGCGTCTGACTGGCACTTCTACCACCCGCCTTCTCACCGCTTCTTTCTCTCGCGTAACGTCACTTTTGACGAGTCTGTCACCTTCTACCACCGCTTTCTCCACCGAGGTCTCCGGGTTTCCCTGCCCCTGTTTCTGGTTCCCACTCCCCCGGCAGCCCCTGCACCTCTCCCTCCCCGTCTTGCCCCGTCTGGTGTGTCGCACGTCACTCCCCGCCCGCCACTTTTCCCGATTTAGGAGTCGGCTGACTCCGGGGGTCCCGTGGCCCTCTTTGGTCTCCTCTTTGGTCTCCTCTTTGGTCTCCTCTTTGGTCTCCTCTTTGGTCTCCTCTTTGGTCTCCTCTTTTGTCTCCTCTTTGGTCTCCTCTTTGATCTCCTCTTTGATCTCCTCTGTCATCTCCTCATGGTCTCCTCTTTGGTCTCCTCTTTGGTCTCCTCTTTGGTCTCCTCTTTGGTCTTATATTTGATCTCGTCTTTGATGCGGAGACTACCTACTGTAACTCTATACCATGCGTCACCAAAATGTGTTGTCCGCAAACTACCCGAGTAGTAAAATTTCTGGCAGATACAGGTGTGTTCTCGATTTGCGTTTCGGACAATTCTCTAGAAAAAGGTATGACCTTTGGGGGGCAAAAATCGGACAGTTTTGGGGGATTTGTCGGAGTGGAAACTGTCCGACAACATCCCAAACAGTATCTGACAAATATAAAACGACTATTCATAATCCTCACTATAGGTGCGTGATTGATTGGTCTTACAAATATTGCACTACAGTGAAACGTTACATTCCAAATTACACCATAAAATATAAATTGAAAACAGTGCAAGGACCAAAAATTTATCTACACTAACAAATCCCAAAATGCGCATTTGACAGTATGTTAAGATCCTCGACGGAGGACGGGAGGTAAGAGGGCTAGCTTAGCACCAATCCAATAGTGGGAGAACTGAGTAGCACAGCATGACGGAAAATAATCCCGCGGATTACAACGTCTAAAAAAAAAAACAACGAGGCACCAACAATAAATGCAAGGCCTTACCTTGACAAATGCAGCAGCGCGATGGTGGAAATAGGCAGTCGCGCGATATGGGCCTGTGCAGTTCAAACAAGGTAAACAAACAGAAACAATTAGATACGACAAGCTAGAGAGGCATGCGATGCAATGCAGTGGCACACCTGCATTAACACTTGTGCTTGAGAAAGAGAAAGCGTGAAAATGGCGGTGGGCTGGAAATGGCGGTAATGGCGGTAATGGCGGTAAAGGCGGTACAAGCTAAGCTAAGATCTGAAATGTCGAATTGCAAATGAGAAATGACAGTTTGGGAAGGGGGACGAAGGAGAATATGGAGAGGGAGGCACGGGGCTGGTTGGGTTTGGGAGGTCTAGGTTTGGACAGATGATGTGGCAGCTTGTAGGAAGTCTGGGTTTTGGTGTGAGGTGTGGATTAGCTTAGATGGAGGCTTGGGAACACCAGTGTGTTCCATAGCTGGGCAAAATAATTGCCATTCGTAAAAGAAAAGTTACATAAACGGACACAAAATTTCGTGATGGAAATCGTGCAAATCTGGAGAGAACTAATTAGAGATTAAGTTTGACGATCTCAACAGAACATTGCGTGCAGCTCAAGTAACTTCTAGAAATGAGCTTATACGCGTTGGAAAGGTCTTAATCTCTACTTTCCAGAATCATCGCAAAAAGTGCAACGTTAGCGGATCGTTTACGCCATTCGAAGCTGGCCGCATAGTCGGAAATCGTCCGCCAGGTGTTCGCCAAGTGTTTTTTTCCTGTTTCGTTTAACGTAAATGGTTTGCGAGTCTTCCGCGAATGAGTTGTTTCGCGAATGAGTTGTTTTGTAAATGTTACACCTTGATAATAATCTTGTTCTGATGGCTTATATTTCCATACAGAATCGGTCAGTCTACACTAAAACTTGTACAAAGTTTATAACATCGATCCGGGGAAGCTGAAATGTTAAAATAAACGAATTGTGTGTTTATGATATTTTTATGATAGTAAACGTACTACTACTTCTAATTTGGGCAATGTCTTTGTAGAAACAGCAAGTGCAAAGTAAGGTATTGATCTCTTCAAGAGATAGTTTTATTTTGTTCCCCTCAAGATTCGAACTCGGATCTTCCAACTGTGCTACGTGCAAAAATTACTCAAAAACGAGGTTCTCCCAGGGATCGAACCCGACTCTTCACATGTGTAGATTATGACTTACTATCTGCAGTGCGTATCTACTTTATATTTAAATGTTTTAAAATGTAATATTTAAAATTGGTTTTGTTGCTGGTTTCACTACCCTGCTTCCAACTGCTTATAAGGTCGTAGTCCAACAGAATCGCGGTTCCAATCCAGCTAGACAAAATTTTGAGATACCGAACTGAACCAAATTGAATCGCAAATTACAGCGTATTCTAGCGCGCGCGTAACCTGAAATCCAGAAATATTTGCTTAATATTTGTGTACATGGAAACACGCCCCGATTCACAACATGACGTGCATATAGAAACACGCCCCAACCACACTCCCACCCCCTACCATACCTGCACTTTGTTCCAACCAATCCCAACCCAATTTCCCTAACCAACTCAGCCCATGCACCTCTCCCAACCAATCGAAATCGGCCGAGCGATTCCAGCACGGCTAAATCCAGCTCAACCCCCTGCTCGCCCCAACCACCCAGCCCACCACGTTGCACACTTCACATGCCAGCAATCCTTGCCAGCACAGACTTCTGATCCTTCCTTATCTGCCCCCTTGCGCCCACTGATGTCTTTCAGCTAGACTTTTCTTACAGTATTATTCATCGGCAGTTCAATCTGTATCAGTTTCAGCCCCCCCTCTTGCCTTCGCACCCCCTTAGTGATTAGCTTCTTCCTCTGCCAGACTTTAACCAGTTACCATGGTCGTTCTTGGTTTACGATAACATGAGTATGTCATTTCGCGATAGCTGTTATTTCTATCGTTTTAATCTTCTGGTACTAATTAGCTTGTAAGTGGCTATTGTTGTTCACAATTGTCCTTCTTATTGGCAGGTTCATGAGCTAATACGTCTTCGGGGTTGAAGGCATTTGTTAACTGGAGTTTCTATCTAACTATGTTTTGCCTGTGTGCTCACGATGCTCGTCTTTATCGCAGCTAGCCATGTAACTCAGTCCAGCATAAAGATTATTCTTCCGGTAAGCACGTCTCTTAGTCTCGCCAATCGTTTATTCGTCGGACTAATTTCACGACAATGTCTAAGCTGACGTGCAGAGATTTGTAGCCAACCTCGAGGCACCCCTCGTAAGCCTCGTGTTGAAAGTCTGGTTGTTTGGAATTTAACAAATGGTTGAACCTGATGCGCAGGAATTTATTACCAAGGCCGCGCTACTTTCCCAGAGTAAGAATTGTTATTATGTTGGTAATTTGGACATTGGGCTTACTTTGAAATGAATTCTTACTTCACATGCAGGAATAGCAAGTCGGCGTCAAGAATTTACGTTGTCGGCAACGTCGTTGGTGTGCCGCCGCTCTGTTTCTGTTCGTGGTAGTGCGGGACGGGCATGCTGCATACGTTATTAGGTTGTTGGGGGCTTGCATATTTCTAGGTAATTAGGTTGGTAACCACTGGTAGAAATTGTGTATATCGTTTGTAATGGTGGTACATTTACTTTTATGAATAACATCATTTGATACACCAATGGTCAACAGAACAAAAAGAATGGATGGCAAGAATGCAAAATCATTTTCATACAAATCCAAAGCAGCATCAAAATATGCATTGCAATGCATTTGACGAAACACTATATTGCATTCGAGACAACACCGCCCATCGTTTCCGAATGCTCGCGCGGAGTGTTTTGGCAAATGTTGTCCAAGCATTCGCAAAGTGTTCGAATCTTAGTCCGCACGGTATTTACACCCACTTGTTCGCAAAACGTTTGCAAAGCATCCGCACAGATAATTCGCGAACGTTTTGCGAGCACACCTTTTTTGCGATGATGGTAAAGCACGTTCATAACCAAGATCTGAGCCGCCGATTATGACGAAATCAGTGTGAGGGGATATTCTGGTAATTTGGCTAGGCAGCCATGAATCACCTAGTAAAAACGAGAAGGGAAGCAGTTCGATCTGGAAAAGTTCGAGAATGAGATCGTCAAACACCACCAACCCTCGCCCTGGACCAAACCCTAAGACTCCCAAGTGCCACATCTGCAACATCAAAGATGTTGTAGTGGGTTTGGGGTTGTATGGGTTGGAAAGGTAACGAGATCAAACCTAGCCAAACCAACCCACATCTTTTGCCCAAATCCCAATAGCCCACAATCAGCTAGAGCAAACTACACCACAGAACACTACACATTTATCACTCCCCCTTGCTCGTGCTGGGTGTGGCTCAACACCATAGGGCAAAAGACTTCACACCACTCCCCCTTGCTCGTGCTGGGTGTGGCTCAACACCATAGGGCAAAAGACTTCACACCACTCCCCCTTGCCCATGGGTTGGGGCCACCCAGAGCATGGAGTCCGCCAAGGAGAGGAGCACCAAGTCGCCGGCATCTGCTGCGGGAACTCTGTCATCATGGGGCTGCATCCCGAGCAAGGTCATGCACACACCATGACGCTCAAATGGAAGAGACTTGGTAAGAGTATCAGCAGCCTGACGGTTGGTGGGGCACCACTGCAAAATCACCTCACCCGCAGCTACCATCTCCCGAATGAAATGCCACCGGACCTGCATGTGTTTGGTGCGGCCATGCAAGCATGCATTCTGTGCAAGGGCAATGGCAGACTGATTATCCACAAACACAGGCACACCACCAGCATGATCATGGCCAAACTCCTCAAACAAACGCCTCAGCCAGACACCCTCCTGAATGCACTGACACAGACTTATATACTCACTCTCAGTGGTAGAGAGTGCTACCACGGGCTGCCTCTTGCTCTGCCAAGAGATAGCTGCCCCATTCAGACAGAACACATACCCACTGTGGCTCCTGCGACTTGCGGAATCTCCAGCATAGTCAGCATCACTGAAGCCAACTAGCTGGACCTGAGACTGGGGCTGTGTTTGGAAGAAGATACCTGACTTGACACCACCTTTCAGGTACCTCAGCACTCTCTTAGCGGCCTGCAAGTGAAACATTTTAGGACAAGAGGCGACCTTAGATAGCTGTGAGACTGCAAAGGCAATCTGTGGCTGTGTGGTAGTACAAGCATACATGAGGGATCCCACAATGCTTTGGTAGAGCTTGACCAGCTCATCTCGCAGCAAGGGTTCATCCTCATAGGCATGCACATCAAAGCCTGTTGGGAGAGGAGTACGCACGGGGTTGGCCTCTGAGAGGCCAAAGGACTGAAGCATGTTAAGAATGTACCTCTCTTGATGAATCAAGATACCACTCTCATCACGCTCAATTTGCATTCCCAAGTAGTACTTCACCTCCCCCAAGTCCTTCATGCGAAAACGCGAGGACAAGAAGTCTTTCACTCGATCTAGCAAAGCCTTGCTAGAGCATAGGAGCAAAAGGTCATCCACATAGAGGAATAAGGAGATCCGCTCCTCATCTCTCACAAAGTGGTACAAGGCAGGGTCACACTCAGATCTCTCAAACCCAAAATCCATGAGAGCCTCATCAAATTTTAGGTACCACTGTCGTGGGGCTTGCTTTAGCCCATAAATGGACTTTTTGAGGCGACACACTCGGTGAGAGCCATCATCAAAACCAGGGGGCTGCCGCATGTAAAGCTCTTCCTCCAAATCCCCATGGAGGAAGGCTGTCTTGACATCCATATGATGGATATCAAGCCCCAAAGCAGCTGAAATTCCAAGCATACCTCTCAAGGTCGCATGCTTCCCAACTGGAGAGTACACTTCTTCATAGTGTACTCCCAATTTCTGCGTGTTTCCCATCACCACCAATCTGGACTTAGGCCTTTCAATAGTACCATCAGGGTTATGCTTGTATTTCCAAACCCAATGACACCTGAGGACCTCCAAACCAGGTGGTACCACGGCTGGATCAACCAGCTCAAATGATCCATTTACCTTGTGAGACTCAAGCTCCTCATGCATAGACTCAACCCATTCGGGACGGTTCAGCGCCTCATGGACTGACCTAGGCTCATGCACCTGACCCATTAGACACACATCAAGAGCATACTCATGCCCATGCATGTCCACAAGCATGCAATCATCCAAATCAGACACAAGATGATCATGCATGCGTGCAATGTGCCCCGGTGAAAACCTTTCAGGTGGCTGGGAAATTCGAGCACTGCGTCGCAGAGGTGTTGCCTCTCCTTCTTCCAGCCTCCGCAGCTTCTCCTCCCAAGTCACCCTCTTCATTGGAGTCCTTGGAGTCTTGGACAGCTGCTGGTTCAACAACTGCTGCCAACTGCTTCTCGATGGAGTTGAAGGCACATGCTGCTCCGGCTGATCATCACGCGCATCGGCCTGCGTGGCTGGCTGAGGGGTAGAATCTGTCTCTCGGGACTCCTCATGGTTAGGATCAGCTGGTTCTGGCTCCTCCTGCTGCTCCTCCCCTTCATCTCCAGGGTCCTCCCATGCCCCCTCAAAGATAGAAGCCGTATGAGGGTCTTGAATGGAAGTCCCACTTTGGCTTGTACCATGCTCCTTCCACCCCTTAAAATTCAGCCCCTCATGGAAAACCACATCACGGCTCTCCATCACACGCTGGTCAGCTACACTCCACAGCACCCAAGCCTTGCTCCTCTCAGAAACCCCAAGGAAGATCCCCCACTGTGCCTTAGGATCTAGCTTCCTCCTTTGCTGGTCAGGTACCTTATACTGTGCCATGCACCCCCACACTCGTGCCATGGAAACATTCGGCACCTTCCCTGTCCATAAGGAGTATGGGCTCTTGCCTCCAAGCCCCTTGCTGCCCATCCTGTTCTTCACCCAGTTGGCATACTGCACTGCTGCCCCCCACCAAGTGTTATCAAGCTCGGCATGGGAAAGGATGGCCCGAGCCAAATCGGTCAAGGTCCTGTTAAGCCGCTCCGCTGCCCCATTTTGCTGCGGCGTGTAAGGTACAGAGAGCTGGTGGGTAATACCCTTTTCTTCCAAGAAGGTTTGAAGTTCTTTCCCAAGGTACTCTCCACCCCGATCTGACCTTAACACCTTCACCTTGGCCCCTGACTCCCTCTCCACATAGCGTATCCACCGCCTAAACACCTTTGCCACCTCATCCTTGGTCTTCACCAAGATGACCCAGCTAAGTCGACTGAAGTCATCAAGAAAGGTGACAAAGTATCTGTTGCCCTTTTCCCGGTCAGGAGTTTGCATCGGTCCACACACATCCGTGTGCACCAGCTCAAGGGGAGTCGAGGCATGATCAGAGGAGATAGGGAATGAGGTTCTAGGCAGCTTTCCAGACGTGCAGTCGGGACATTTGCTCTGCTGCCCAGCTCCTTCCTTGACCTCCACCCCCTTCAGCTCCCCCTTCTTCACACACTCCAGCAGTTGCTGCTTCCCCGCGTGCCCCATGCGAAGGTGTAGCAACTCAGGTGACACCGTTTCCACCTGCCTCCAGCGAGTGCTACAAGCGGCTTCCTCAGAAAAAACCATATGTGCCTTGTAATAATTAGGCACACAAGCTGGAACAAGGTATAAACCCTTGTCCAGCTTTGCCTCCATCACCACAGCTTCACCCTTTCTAACAGTACACCCTCCCTCAGTGAAAGTGCAGATGTATCCCTGTTTAGCCAGCTGCGAGCATGAAAGGAGGTTTGCAGCCAAACCAGGGACGTGAAGGACCCCCTTCACACCCACTAGCTCCCCCTCCTTCCCCTTAATGGTGATCGTGCCGATGCCAATTGCCTGCAGCAAATCTCCGCTCCCAACAATCACTCTCCTAGAGTTTGGTGGGAGAGGATGGTAGGAGGTGAAAAGATCACGGCGAGGAAGCATCCCAGATGTTGCTCCAGAGTCTAGAACCAGGAAGTTGGGATTAGCCAATGCACGACCAACGAGAGCTGCATCCTGCCCTAGCATGAGAAACGAGAAACCATCATCGGAGGAGTCGTCTTGGCCCTTCCCCTTCTCATCCTTAGCAGCTGCGGCCGTTGCTCCCTTGCTGCCCTTCTTATTCCAGAGCCCCTTCTTCATCCTTTTCTCCACCCAATCAGGTTTGGTCACTGGTGGGGCCTCTCCAGAGTAGCCGTGAGGCTTCCATCCCTCAGGCCTACTCCAGCAACTCTTCCAAGAGTGTTTTTTGTTGCATCCGGGCACAAGGCATTTGTCCAACTCTTTCTTCTTCCCCCCACCTCCTTGCTGTTGATAGCCTTTCCTGAAGGAAGCTTTATCTGCTGCACCCATGCCTCCTTCTAGACCTCTTCCAGCATCAACCTTGCGAGCCTCATCAGAAATTAGAACCTCCCAAATCCACACCTTGGTCCATTTCTGTTGCTCGAGGTGAAGGTACTGTAGTAATGCCTCATTAGCCGCTTGATCCAACCCTTGGAGCGCAGTATAGATGATCTCCTTCTCATCTACCGTGTAATCCAGCTCCTCCAAAGCCCGCACATTCTCATCCACCCTCTGGAGATACTGAACCATGGTCTCCCCCTCCCCATAGTTCCGCTCCATGGTGTAAAACCGCTTCCGCCAAGTAAGCACGCTTAGAAGCCCTTTCTGCAAGTGCCTATCTTGTACTCTTTTCCAAGCTGCAGCCGCTGCACCTTCCTTCCCCTTCAGGTCAATCAGCATCTTAAGAAGCTCAAGTTGCCCCTCCAAAGCCCAACACAGGTACTGAAAAGCCTGGCGATCCTTCCGATCCCATGCTTCTTGAGCTTTGAGCAACTCCTCGCTACTTGGTTGCGACCTTCCGGTTCGAGTTGCAGCAGTTCCTCCTTCCTTCACCCCACTCAACGACGCTCCCCCAGCCCCGGATCCCACTTGGCTGGTTGCTCCAGTAGACGCCTCCCCAGAGTCAGCTCGTGGTCGCTTCTCCGATCCATCCAACACACTTTCTAGGTCCTTAATACCTACCCATAGTGTGAACTGGAACCTCCATAGCGAAAAATCCGAGCCGGTAAACCTAGGAGGGCCATCCAACTTTTGGGCCATGTCAAACCCTAGATCTGGAGCACTTCAAGCCCCTCTAGATCTCTTCCAATGGAGGAAAGAACGTCCTCTAACCGTGGCTCTGATACCACTGATGGAAATCGTGCAAATCTAGAGAGAACTAATTAGAGATTAAGTTTGACGATCTCAACAGAACATTGCGTGCAGCTCAAGTAACTTCTAGAAATGAGCTTATATGCGTTGGAAAGGTCTTAATCTCTACTTTCCAGAATGGTAAAGCACGTTCATAACCAAGATCTGAGCCGCCGATTATGACAAAATCAGTGTGAGGGGATATTCTGGTAATTTGGCTAGGCAGCCATGAATCACCTAGTAAAAACGAGAAGGGAAGCAGTTCTATCTGGAAAAGTTCGAGAATGAGATTGTCAAACACCACCAACCCTCGCCCTGGACCAAACCCTAAGACTCCCAAGCGCCACATCTGCAACATCAAAGATGTTGTAGTGGGTTTGGGGTTGTATGGGTTGGAAAGGTAACAAGATCAAACCTAGCCAACCAACCCACATCTTTTGCCCAAATCCCAATAGCCCACAATCAGCTAGAGCAAACTACACCACAGAACACTACACATTTATCATTTCGGACCGTTAGACCATTGATGAGCAGATCCGATGGCACATAGCCATAAATGCACGATCAACGATAAGCTGAATTTTGACGAGAAAATTGGATTGTCAGCCGTCAGATCGGCCGAAGCCAGCTCCCTGCACCTCTCCCTAGGCAAATGTGTCCCGAAAGTGGCCCAACCTCCTGGGAGGTTGGTTTGGGTTGGGACAGGTGGTGGCCACTTTTCGGAGGCTGGTTTGGAGCGTGGGAATTCAGAGCGAATGGGGATTGCTTCCAGGCATGGTTCGGACACTTTTCAGACCGCATACTTTCGGAACACATTTAGGACGTTCACTTTTTGGTGGCGTGTTAGCTTATCGAGAGAACCAATTGACTAAGGAAAAGTGTCGAGGGGTACAAGAGTAGTGCTGTATCCTCTAAGAATTGACCTACTAGGCTATATGCAAATATAACCTAGCTAAACTAAAGTTATATTTGTTGACATGAATATGTCCATTCGTTCAATTTGCCGTATTAATCGACACAGTGGAGGACAAAATACATATCTGCCTCTAGTATTCGTTTTTGTTCTGTTCGAGTTTGCTTCAAGGTGTATGCACAAAATGTTTCGTGCATTTTCACCAAGAGATTGTGATCGTTACTCGGCAGCGTTGCTGTCAAAGTGTACCAGATCAATCCTTGCTACGGCATTGATGTCAACATATAATTTATATATGTTATAGGCTAGCTAGGTGCAGGCTCATATGGAGTACAACCCCTTAGGTTATATCCCATTGTACCACCCCATTCTAGTTATTTCACTCTACTCTAAGATGGTATTACCTTAGGTTAGGTCCACCTGCCCGCTTCCGCCCTAGCCCCTAGCACCCCGCTGGCCCCTTAGCACCCCGCTGGCCCCGTACGCCCAGCTGGCCCCTTAGCGCCCCGCTGGTCCCTTCGCGCCCCGCTGGCCCCGTTTGCGCCCCGCTGGCTCCTTAGCGGCCCGCTGGCCCCGTATGCCCAGCTGGCCCCTTAGCGCCCCGCTGGCCCCGTAGCGCCCCGCTAGCCCCTTAGCACCCCGCTAACCCCGTTTGTGCTCCGCTGGCCCCCGTACGATCTGCTAGTCCGGTACGCCCCGCTGGCCTCGTTTGCCCTGCTAGCCCCATTCGCGCCCCGCTAGCACCGTCGAGCTCCACTAGCCTCGTGCGCCCCGCTGGCCCCGTTTGCCACCGCTGGCCCCGTTCGCGCCCCGCTGGCCCCGTTCGCGCCCCGATAGCCCCGTGCGCCCCGCTGGCCCCAAACGCCTCGCTAGTCCCGCGCCCGCTGGCCCCGTTCTCGCTGGCCCCATGCTAGCCCGCCCCGTGCTCGCCGGCTCCCGCGCTTGCTGACCCCCGCGCTCGCCAGCCCCGCGCCCGCTGGCCCCGTGTTTCCAGGCCCCAGCTCGCCGGCCCCCAGCTAGCCGGCCCCTAGCTTGCCAGCCCCCGGCTCCACCGGCACCTGCTTCGCCGGCCACAGCCCGCACCGGCCCCGCGCCATGCAACCGCTGCGCCGCAGTGTCGCCGTGCCGCTCTGCCGTCCCCGACCTACCGGCCTTGGCTCCTCTCTGCGCCGGCACTCCTGCCGGCTGTCTCCACTGCTCTTCACCGCACTCCACCTCCCTCCACCACACTCCACCGCACTCCATCGCACTCCACTGCACTCCACCGTACTCCACCGCACTCTACTGCACTCCACCTCACTCCACCGCCCTGTCCTCTGCCTTTCTTCCTATCCCTGTCAGCGTCCTTCAACTGCTGCAGCTGTGGTGATGGCGGACTCACTGCTCCGCCTGGACGCGGAGGGTCGGCGATCGACTTCGAGGCGTGGCTCGTCGACCTTCGCCGTCACCTTACAGGTCAGCGCCAGCACGGTCACTCCCTGGCTGTTCATGTCGATGGCCTGCTTCCCCGCCCTGCTGCACCTTTTGCCCTGCCTGCTGCTCCCAACACTGCCGAGCGTGAGGCCTATTCCACTGCTGCGCTTGCTCGTGCTGTCTGGGACTCACGTGACGCCGTCGCACAGCTTGCTATCAGTCACGCGCTTCCCCTGTCTGAGCGTCCCCACTTTACCACTGTAGCAAACGCCAAGGAATTCTTAGATGCAGTCATCGCTCGCTATTCCACTCCCGCCTCCGCCTCTGCTCGCCGCGTGATCCTCCCCATGATGTTCCTTGATCTTGCGTCCTTCCCCACTGTCACCAATCTTGCCACTCACCTCCACGCACTTGAGACTAGCTACCGCGCCGCTAACACAGAGACTCAGCTCACAGCCTTTCTACCGCCGCTTTGCGCTACCCTCTACCTCATTGCCACGCGTCTTCCAGACTGCCTCGCCACTGCACGTGACCACTTCCTTAATCAGCACCCATTTGATCTCACCCTTACCGCCTTTGTCACCACCCTGTCCAAGATAGAGACCCGCTAGCGCACTATCACTCTGTCTAGTGGGACTGCGGCAGTCCCTATATTTCAGGGTCGTGCTCCCTCCCAGTGCACTTACTCTGACGTCTCTGCTGCTGTCGCTGAGACAACCCCTGCTGCTGAGTCCGCTTCTGTGGCCTCAGCGCAGCCGCGTCCGGGTAGGGGCCGCCGCCCCAAGTGGGGGCGTGGCGGAGGGAAGGGTGGTGGGGGTGGTGGAGGCAGGGGTGGTGGGGGTGGTGGGGGTGATGGTGGTTCTGACGAGGGGATTGGGCCTGGTGCCCTGGAGTAGCTGCAGCAGTAGCAGCAGCAGCAGCGGCGGCGGCACCCTAAACCCGGTGCCTCTAGTGGTGGTGGCCGCCCTCGCAGCTCGGCGTTGGGTGGCAGCTTTGGTGCTGTGGGCCGCCAGTACCAGCTCCAGAGCGGCCACTTCCATGACACTGTGTGTGGTCGAGCCGGTCTCTCTGCCGCCCGCTGCTTCCGCCGCATTGACGATCTGTTCCATCCTCGCTTCGGCCCTGCGCCGGATCTTCCCGACTGACCCAGTCTGGTTCGTTGCCGTGTGCCTGTCTTTGAGATGGATATGGATCAGCTTTACTCTTCCTTGCATGCCATGTATGCTGATGACTCTATTGTGACCGGACCTTATTACCTTGTGTTGCCTAGTTTAGGTGTGCCTCCTGTGTATAGTCTAGGCTCCCCTACTGCGTCACGCGTAGGACCTTCTGCCTTTTTTAGCCTAGGCTCCACACTAGCCCCTCCGCCAGCTACCGCTACCGTTTCGCTCCCGTTCACGCTTGACTCTGGTGCATCTGCCTGCTTCTTCCGCGACCACACTACGCTCACGCAGCTTGCCGCCCCTATCGCTGTCCTGCTTGCTCACCCCTCCTCAGGTCCGGTAGTTGCCCGTAGCTCCACTATGCTTCCCTGTTCGGCGGTTCCCTCGGGCTCCCTTACCGGACTCCCCACACCTGAATGGGGTCGCTGAGCGATGCATCGGTTTGCTCATGGAGGTGGCTCGTACCTCCATGATCCATGCAGATGCACCACATTTTCTGTGGCTGTTTGCTGTTCGCTACGCCGCTCACCAGCTTAACATGTGGCCGCACTCCCAGCGGCCGCAGGTTTCGCCGACCCTCCTCTGGATCGGGTCACCTGGTGACGCATCCGCGTTCCACGTCTGGGGCTGCCTTGCTCACGTTCATGCCTCTGGCACGGAGAAGCTCACTGCACGCACTCTCCCCTGTGTCTTCCTTGGTTTCCCCCTCGACTCGTCTGACTACCACTTTTACCACCCGCGGTCTCACCGCTTCCTTCACTCCCCTCCCGTCGGTTATCCCCGTCGAGGAGTCGGTTGACTCTGGTGGCCCCGCACCACAGTTCTCGCCGCCTGTTTCCGCCCCGGTGTCTCCTCCTACGCCGTCGCAGCAGCCGCAGCCGTCGACGCCACCACAACAGAAGCAGCCGTCCGTGGGCTCTGAGGGTACGGATGTTGAGGAGAGTGCTCGTCCTGGGGTTCTTGTTGTGGCTTGTCCCGGCGGTCCTGGGGGTGGCACCGGTGCTGGAGAGGGTTCTCGTTCTGGGGGTGCTAGAGTGGAGCGTTTTGGAGGTAGCCATGGTGCATCTGGATGTTTTGGTGTCAGCGTGGAGAAGCAGAAGCAGCAGTCGCCACCCGTGTCTGCCCTTCGCCTGCTCGGCCTTCCCTCCTCTGCCCCCCCGCCTGTGCCTCCCCCGCCGCCGCCTCCCCTGCATGTCTCCGGCCCTGTGTTTCCGCCGCCAGACTCGTCTCGGGCGTTTCCCCCCTCGTTCTCCTCTTGTGTCTCTTCCTGTGTCTCCTGACCCGACATCTCCATCCCACATTTGGTCTCGTCATCCCTCTCGTGCTCGTCCTATCTATCCTGTCCAGCGCTCTCACCCGATGTTGCTTCATTCCCACGCGTCTCCTCCTCCCCTCCTCCCCTCGCCTCCTCCGTCGTCGCTTGTTGTCTCTCCACCTCCTCTGTCTGATTTCCATCGTGCCGTTAGTCCTCTTGCCTCCCTTTTTACCAACCCGTCTGTTCCTGTCTCGAGTCTTGACGCTCTTGTCATTTCCGTCGCTGACTTCGCCTCTACCCACCACCTTGACTACGCCACCGCTCTGGTCTCTGACCCTGCCCGTCCTCCATCCGTCGGGGGTTCTCCTGCCCTTGGCAGTGACGTCCTGGAGGACCGGCAGTACGAGCTTGCTTTCCTGTCCAAGGCCGCGCCTGATCTTTGCTCCATGCTGCTAGTCCCTGAGGGGGACCCAGACGCCTTCGATATCCCGACCCCTTACAGGGCACACAGACGCTTCGTGGGCGGATGACGCTGAGACGCTCTGGTCCTCTTGGGGCCACAGTTCTAGCCTTGGTGCAGGGGCCATCTCGTGGAGGTCCACTTGTTCGTCGTCTGTTGCCCAGTCGAGCTGCGAGGCCGACATCTACGCTGGTGCCATGGCGGCACAGGAGCTCCGCTGGCTGACTTTCTTGCTCAAAGACTTAGATGAGCAGTCTAGCTCTACCCCGGTCCTGTACGCTGACAACATGGCCATCATCCTCCTGTGTCAGGAGCCTTGACTGGAGGGCAGAGCAAAGCACATCCAATCGCGGTACTTCCTCCTGCGCGAGGTACAACAGCGCCGCCAGGCCCGCGTAGTACACTTGGCCTTAGGTCCCAACACAGCTGATATCTTTAAGAAGGCACTTGCGCCTAAAGATCATCAGCGATACTGTGTACAGCTTGGTCTAGTTCCTGTAGCTTCTCACTTGCCAGGACACTGATTGTGTAATACTGTTTATATTATCTTGATTGGCCTTGTGGCTCTTGTTCTAGTGGCTGGACTAGTAGTGCCGCCTTGGATTAGACATGGTTTCGTTTGTACTCTTGCTGAATGGTTGTCGGACCCTTGCCTCAAAGGCTGGACTAGTAGTGCCACCCTGAGCTGTGTGTCTCTTGCTAGTCGCTGCCCCTTGTCTAGCCTAGGGGGTGTGTCAACATATATTTTGTATATGTTATAGGCTAGCTAGGTGCATGCTCATATGGAGTACAACCCCTTATGTTATATCTGTTAAATTATATATTTGATATATATATATAATGGTAGGCTTGGTAGGTGTTCCTGGATTCTACAGTAAAGTGTACAACCCCCCTTCTTGTATCCCTCTCTCTTCTATTCCAAGCCCCTTCTCTCTCGACATTTTCCTAGCACCTAAAACCTCTCGCCATTCATGGCGTCTCTTCCTACCTAGCTAGCTTTGACATGGTTTCAGAGCGGGAGGTCCGCCCTGCTGGGCCGCCTCCTCACGCTTCCGCACATTCCGCTCCTCGCTCCTATCCTTTCCGCGCCGCCGCTACGGCCATGTCGAGCTGCTGTGATGGCGCTGTCGTGCTGCCGTGGCTGCGCCTACGCACTAGCGCGCGGACAGCAGTGGCCAGCGCCCGGTCTTAGCGCTGGCCAGCACGCCTGCATGCAGCCAGTGTGCCACACGGGGCGGTACACTACCGGGCTCCACTGCTGAAGCCCCGCCCCCTTCCCCTGCGTCCCCTCTTCCTTGCCGCAGCCGACAGCCAGGATTCCTGCTAAGTTTTAGGGCTGTCTGAGAATCAGACGCGGTTTCAAATTTTCGTCTGACCATCCGACGAGCTACCTGGGCTGGTCTAGATTTTCAGACGAATTGTCCAGCATCATCTGAGCTTCTAGACGAGAAAAAAGGTACTTTACAATAAACTATAGTATAGTACTGGGGTGATGACTCGTCACGCGACAAAAATATTCCTTGGGTGGCAGGTTTGAAAGCGTGTTCCTACGAACCTCTTCCTAGGCTGTCCTCTTCCCAAACTTGGCCCTTGCCTGAGTGAGAGCGTGTTCGAAGAACCGTTTTTCCAGCTAATTTGTTTCAGAATCCCGTTATAAATCGCGTCAAAATCCCACTGTACAGATTCGCTCATGACTGAATTTTTTGCGCCTGAAACGAGATTTGAAAACACGCCTTGAATCTCGACTATCCCAATCTCGCGGCACACCACGGGGAACCGCATTTAACTGTTTCGTGTCAGAATTACGTGACAATGTAGCGCGGGAGTTTGGGATGAGGTTGGCTGGGAAGAGGCAGCAAGAACATGCTCTGAGGGCCGATGACACACGTGGCCGAATGGCCACAAGGGCGTGGACTACACCAAAATTGTAAAACGGGCGGGAAGGGGGGGGAGGAGGGGGACAGGTTACGAGGTGTGCAATGTACCGCCCACCAGATTGGGAGGAGAGTGGGTGAACCGTCGAGATCGTGATCGTTGATCGACAATATATTTCTCAGCAGTGTGTTGCGATTAACTTAGCCAGCAACATTCTCGCCAGTTCGGAGAGATTTTGATTGGCTACACAGGAGAATGGCTTCCTGTGCTTCTGCCCAGACTTCACGACGACCAATGTGACTCCTTTTCTACGAAAATATTTTCGCACCCACTTCGCCTTCCAACTCAAGTTCTGAATCTAATCAGAGCCCCATAGGAACACGCTCTCAGACGGAAATATACGCGCTATCTGGAAATTCAGACGAGTGCCTACACCAAGTCTGAGAATTCAGACGGATTTATATAACCAAGATGGTCGTTCAGATGAAAAATAATGGGTTGTAAAAAAATCAGATGACACGGGAAAAGTGAGTCTGATTCTCAGATGAACAGACGGATTTCGTATGCTAACGGTAACCCTGCCGACGGCTGACTAGCGCCGGCCATCCCACTGTCGCGGAGCTCGGCCACGCCGCCGAGTGCTGCGAGCTCCGCCACCGCCGGCAGCTGTCGTCGAAGCCGCCGCAGCCGCAGCTGGTGCCGCTGGCCACGCCGCCGCCGCCGCCATTGTCAACGCTGCAGCCATCGCCGCCGTTGCAGCCACTGCCCTCGCTGTGGGGTTGACCATGCTGGAGTAGCCGTTGCTGCTGCTGAGTATGGGGGTGCTAGGGGGTGTGTGGCTTAGTGTGCTGTGTGTGTGGTGGGCTTTCCGCCACCAAGCCTAGGGGGTATGTTAAATTATATATTTGATATATATATATATATAATGGTAGGCTTGGTAGCAGGGCCTCAGATTGCAGGCTTTTTACCCTGATTCAGGGTAAAATCAGGGCTTTTTTGGGGGGTGACCCTGATGAGACAGGATTTTTTTAAGATAGAGGCCTGAAATTTCAGGGTTTTTTTAAGAGTGAACTCTGATCGATCAGCGTGCGTAGTGTAGTGTGGCCTGTTTTTCCAGCGTCGTATCGGAGCCCGACCCTGATTCTTCTAATAGCAGATTCCCAGCCCCAACTCCCCCACCCCGTGATTTCCGTGAATCCCCCCCCACCGTCCCCGTCAATGACGCCGACTCGAGTGTGATCGACCAGATTCCAGCCCCGCTGGAGAATATTGTGCCAATTTTCCTCCAGCACATAGTGCTCGGCGGGGTCTCATTGGCTGTTCGAAAGTAGCCAGCCACTGCTGTCTCCAGAAGAACGTGGCTGCAGGGTTTGGATTGGCTCATTTCCAAGTTTCAGCCACAGCAGCCAATAGACCAGGTACAATGTTAGACAGTTGGTCCACCAGCACGGCAGTAGACCGCTACCCACCCACTTCGTGAACCACATGCATGCATGCAGAAGGCTGTTGCAAGCCGCGTGCCCTCCACAAACCTCAAGAGACCCCACCCCATCCTCTTCATCGATCTCTTCAATCGATGCTGTGCTGCCACACCTGCTGCCTCGTTCAAGTCAGGTGCTTCCACCCTCGTCATTCCATTTCTCCTCCACGGTTGTGACTGATTCTCTTACCGTTGCCATCGCGCGATAGCAGCACCTAGCGACGGTGATCTAGAAGGCGATGACGGCAGCATTCCTCGTGCAGACCTGTGCACGCGGCTCGACTTGCTCCTCTCGACACTGTCTAGCCTCACCCGCATCCCGATTAGAGCCGATGCTGCGCCTAGAGAACAGGAACCTGCAAGAAAGGAAGTAGCCGACTCAATTTCCGATGTAGTCATTCTTCCTGAGCAGAGCCTTGGAACCAGTCCGTCGGCACCAGCCGCCGTCGAGCGCCCTGCTACTGCGACGACTACTCCCAAGCGCCAAGGTCGCTACCGCCAGGCCAAGTTACCGTTCGCGAAGCCGAATCCGGGAACCGTCGAGCCGCCGGCGTCGATACCTGCTGATGACGATGAAGAGCCATCTGAAAACGATACACCTTCAACCTCCAGGAAGTCTCTAAGTCCTTCCGAGCTTTACACTGAGGCTCTTTCCCGTTACAAGTCGAGGTGGCAGGAATTGTTTCCCTGGCTCGTTTTGTGTAAAGCTAACGATGGGCGCCCTGCCTTTAAGTGTACCATCTGTCTGGAGCATGCAGGGCTCTCTGGAAGGACTGGTCGTTGTGGGCCAGGAATCACAGACGCACAAACACAGGCGTTCAACAGGCAGACTGGTACCGGAAAGCACCGCCTCGCGTTCGGGAAGCAAACGTTCTGCTGCAGGAAGCTACTACCCAGACGCGAATCGATCAGAACCCGCACACCGCGGATTTGGAGAGGGAGCGAGTGACTGCGCTTCACGACCTGCTGTACACATGTTGCAAGACCAACGAGCCCATGGATACATGGGTCACGATCACCAACCACCTTGCGTCGCGGAAGTTCAAGAACTTCCCCGAGGGCGGATACGAGACGTACATGAACTCGTAAGGCCTAAATTCCTTTAGACTTTTAAGCTTCTTATTCTTACCTTCCATCCTTATAAACCACTAACGACGAGATTTCTTATATTATTAAACGCAGGTACGGTTTCGGGGAGTTCACGCAATCCACCGCAACCTGGCTGCACACCACCCAGCTGGAGCACCTCCTGCGGAGCCCGTTCATCGGACTTAGCCTCAACGAGAGCACGGACCGTTGCAGAGGAAAGCACATGATAGTCTTCTGCACTTTCATCCGGGACCTCCGAGTCGTCACCGAGTACCTGGCGCTGCTCAACGTTGACAAGGCGGATGCCTCTTCTCTGCTCGCTCTGCTGCTCTCCCACCTGCAAGCAATTGGTGTCGATCTCCGCCGCATCTCGGGCATCAGCACAGACGGGGTGGCGGTGATGATGGGCTCGAAAGTTGGCCTAGTGACTCGACTCCGGATGCGTATCCCTCACCTGGTCTCCTGTCACTGCATCGCTCACCGGTGGTTTGGCACAATACTAGCTATCACTCATGGTGGTTTGTTTGATTTCTCCCCGTGTTCTTTTCCATGTGCAGAGAGGCGCTGGCAGCTAAGGCGGCGGCGGAGGACATGCCGTTCTTCAAGATCATCGATGATGTCATCAAGGAACTGGCCGAGTTCCTTGGTCGCTCAGGACCGTGGCACCAGCGCTTCCTCGACCTCCAAGACGTCTTCCTCTCGACGTGCTTGGAGCTGCAGGGTATTCACCAAGTCAGATGGCTCTCACGCGGTGAGGCCATCCGACGGCTGGTGAAGGTCTTGCCAGCCATCGTCGTCATGCTGTCCGAGTTTGCCGACGACCGTCTTTACAAGATTGCCACGAGCTACAGGTTTTGGTTTGTGCTCATGTTTCTTGCTGATGTTCTTGAGCAGATGAACATTCTCAACAAGACTTTCCAGACCCGCGAGGTAAGTTTCGTCACATGGTGCTCGTAAACCGCTACTGATGAACCATTGTTGTCTTACCTGTATTCTCAAACCCCTTCCCGCAGCTGGACATGTCAACGATTCACGCGTCGGTCTCCCGCGTGACGTCCCTCCTCGAAAGCCGCTACGTCGACTGCGGCGACGACTTCAACGGGGGCCCGAAAGACCTGCTCACGGCCTTCCTTGCCCGTCACGGTCTTGGTGGTACGCGCAGCGTCGCTGTTGAGGGTGTCGACTCCAATGGGCGCCCGAGTCGATTCACCTTCGACCTGCATGAGGAGCCATTGGATGGCTACCCGGGTGAGGGCAAGCACGACGATTGTGTCGTGGCGTGCATGGCGCTAGCTGAAGGCATGGTGCAGAACCTGGACGAGCGGCTGGGGAACTTGAAGCAGCTGGGTGGTTCGATGCTGTTCTGTGCGGACCAGTGGCCGCAGGGGTGGGAACGTGCTCCACGGAAGGCCCAATGTCTGGAGTGGTTCGGTATGATGGTCGACCTCTACCATGTAGGGGAATCCGAAGAAATTCTTCCAGGTATCTCACATGTCTTTAACCCCGGGCTTGCACGATTTGTTGATGTGGTCCGCTCTACCCTACTGTACTAATACTCTCCTCGTTCTCCCTCCTACCCTTCCCCTACTGGCACGCATCAACAAGCGAGCGGCTGTGCTGGAGATCCCCCATTTCTGCCCCGTCCTTGCCGCCCTGCCAAAGGGTGACAAGGGTTTCTACACCGGCTTGACGACCATGCTGAAGTCTTCAGACTGGGAGGATAACTTCCCCAATCTCGTCAAGCTGTGGTGCGCTACGGCAGTTCTTCCCCTGAGCACAGTGGAATGTGAACGAGGGTTCTCCCGCCAGAATGTGATTAACAGCTGGCTGCGGGGCAGCATGAAGGACTCACATCTTGGAGACTTGATGTGTATGAGCCTGCTAGACTATGACCCGGACTGGGATGCCATCATTGACATCTGGAGAGCCTACAAGAAGAGGAAGCCCTACAGCACTGCCCCACAGAGCAGAGCCCAGAAGAGTAGGAAGGGGAAAGAGAAGGAGGACGATTCCCCTGTAGTCCACGACAGCGTGCAGGCAGAGGAGGATGCTTAAAGCGAGGGTCTCAAGAAGAAGAAAACCAAATCCAAAGGTTTTGGTTTTGGGTTGACGAACTTCGCGAAACAGTTACAGCGCCCAACCAGCACCCCTTACCAGATCGAAACCCCCCCGATTTTCGCGACCCCCCGAAACCAAAACCTTTGGGTTTGGTTTTTTGCTTCTTGAGACCCTCGCTTTAAGTAGGTCCTAGTATGCCCATGTTAAATTGTAAACTCTTGTCTATAAAAAAGATAGTAATATTGGGCATTTAGTTGAACAGTGTGTTTTTTTCTAGGAAACTCTGTTTTTTTAGCGCAAAAAAATTACGACCCCCTGATTGATCAGCGTAAGTTTCTTTGCGAGGCCTGAAAAAACAGTGAGGCAAGGGGGGTAGGACTCTGAGCGATCAGCATGCCCCAAAACGAATCTGAGGCCTTGCTTGGTAGGTGTTACTAGATTCTACTGTAGAGGGTACAACCCCCCTTCATGTATCCCTCTCTCTTCTATTCCAAGCCCCTTCTCTCTCGACATTTTCCTAACACCTAAAACCTCTCGCCATTCATGGCGACCTAGCTAGCTAGCTTTGACAATATCCCTCTAGTTGTTTCACTCTAGTCTAAGAATTGAAAAATTTATGCATTCATCTTGAGGCATTTTTTACGTTTCATACAGTGATGTGCAATTTCAATCGATCCTGTTAGAAGTCCAAAATTGTTTTCCGGCCATTCCATCTGCCGTATTTATCGACAAGGTGGATGATATGAAACGTATTTGTGTCAAAACTCAGTCACTAACCACTGAGTTAAAATGGCTTGTTAATAGCGGGTCAGTGCGCCCATAGCCCCCCAGGCTCTGCACATGTGGCCCTTCCCCGAGGATCTTCTCAAGGGTAACCCCAGCGGGTCTCTCAATAATTTGACGTTAAAGATGTTTTTTTTTTTAGCTGGTGCCTTGGAAGGTTTCCAAAAATTTAACTGTTCACATCAGTGCCCCCAAAAATGAAATCAGCTGTATAGGGTTGCTACGAAACCCAATAAGCTTAGGAAATCCCTTTTAGTGGTGTACGGTTTACTAACCCACCCTGGATAAGGAAATGTTTTTTCGGACAGCTACTCTAAGAAGCTATTTCTTCCCCCCAGCCACAATGCGAGGGGAGGGGAGGCCTATCGCTTTGTTCAACTGACAGTGCCAGCCAGTTCAGTTCAGGCTGCTGCGACTGGCGACCGACCAGACGGTCTGAGCACCTCACACACCGAGCAGCCATTGCAGTAGCAACTAGAAGGAGGCGGTTTTGATTCGATTGCGCGGTGACGTCTGAGTCGACTCAAAAGCCACCTCTGCGCACACACCCGCCGTCGGGTCCAGACGGAGGCGGTTTTGATCTGATTACGTGGAGGACAGAGAGCGCGAGGGAGAGAGGGAGAGAGAGAGACAAGTTGTGTGGAGACACAATCGGATCTGCAAAGCTGGGTTGATCGCCAGAGCGCTCGTCCGTCCGTATCCCAAGTTGTAGCTTGAGCCGTCTTGAGCCGTCTTGAGCCGTCTTGAGCCGTCTTGAGCCGTCTTGAGCCCAACGACTTCGCAGCGTCCTCGTACTCCTTTTTTGTTTCTTCATTGGCTTCCCACTCTCTTCCACAGGTTTCTCTTCGTTGCGTCGTGCAAGTAGCATTATTTCTTGGATTTGGACCCGAATCAAGGGATGCGGGGTTCCGTGTCAGTAGTAACCATTCGCCTCCTTCTCGCCTTTCTCGCTCTGTCCGTTCCCCTTTGCCTCCTCATCGCCACGTGTTCACGGTTCGGCCTGCCACGTGTACACTTCTCAGTGCAGCTAGAATGGCAAGAAAACCCGTCTGAAGAGAGCACCGGTTCCATTGGAAGTTCTTATCACGCAGTCGCGCAAGAAAGGAGGATTCTTTCGGAAACTTCGTTAGTAGCACCGTCACCCCCGCCTCCTGTCTGTGTTTGTCCCGTGTGCCCGAGTGACAATACTCGGAGTGACAATGGAGGTGATGGAGCAGAGGGGGAGAACGGGGGGAAAGGGGAAGGGGAGAGGGAGGGGGAGGCGTGGGGCGAGAACCACCAGTTCAGGGTGCATCCGACCAGCCTCAACCTGTTTGCTGTCGTCAGCACATACCGCATAGGCCAGGGCAGGTGAGCGATAGCGCATAGGCCAGGGCAGGTGAGCAGGGTGTTAGGTGAAGGGGGTTTCAGCTGACGCGGTCGGTGGAGCTGGTATGCGCCCTTCATCTCAACCTGGTATGCTCACTTTCGTTCCAACCATTTCCCATTCCACCCCATCGCATCAAATCCCAGTCCATCCCATCCCATCCCACCCCTCCCCACCCCATTCCATCCCATCCCATCCCATCCCATCCCATCCAATCCCATCCCACCCCATCCCATCCCATCCCATCCCATCCCATCCCATCCCATCCCATCCCATCCCATCCCATCCCATCCCATCCCATCCCATCCCATCCCATCCCATCCCATCCCATCCCATCCCACCCCATCCCATCCAATCCCATCCAATCCCATCCCACCCCATCGCATTCCACCCCCCTACCTATTCCCCCATCCCCGTTGTTTACTGGGTTCATTCATCGCAATCAGCTTCCATGTCAGCCCGACTCCTCGCACCTCCCCGCACCCCCCATCCACCCGTTTGTCAGCCCCATGGTGGGGGGCGAGTCCCTTCACGCCCCCATGCTCCCATACCATGGTGGTGGGCGAGTCTCTGCTTGGTGCGCATCTGCACTTCACAGCCATTGACTCTTACCCAATCCATCTCTCCCCACCCCACGTATGCCCGCGTCTCCCCCCATCCCCCTCCATGAGGCGATGGAGTGGGCGAGCCTCTCCTGGGAGCCCGTGTGCCATGCGCATGCACATCCCTCCCATACTCCGATGCTGCTCCATCGCCTCCCATGTGTCCATGTGCCCCTTTTCCCCTGCAGATCAGCGTCATGGTGGTGGGCGAGCTTCTCCTCATCGCCCGTCCTCTCATATGCAGCACTTCAATCACCTGCACTGCACCCCTGGCCCCTGGCCCTTCCATCCAACCAACCCCACCCCACCACCACCAATCCCTGAATATCAGCTTCATGGAGGTGGGCGGGCCTCTGCTCGGCGCACATCTGCACTTTGCAGCCATGGCCTCTTATCCAACCGTGCCCCCCATCTCCCCCATCTCCCCCTACGCATGCCCCCATCTCCCCTCATCCCCCCCCCCACCCCCAGCTTCATGGTGGTGGGAGAGTCTCTGCTCGGCGCACATCTGCACTTTGCCGGCTCGCTAGTGGACGAGTGCGTGTGGGAGGGGGAGGGCGAGGGGAAGGGGTCGCCCGTCGTAGCCCCAGCGGAAACTATGCATGTGAGTGGCAAGGAGGGGGAGGAGCCAAGGCGCCCATCTGCACTTTGCAGGCTCGCTTGTGGACGAGTGCGTGTGGGAGGGCGAGGGGGAGGGCGAGGGGAAGGGGTCACCTGTCGTTGCTCCTGCTGAAACCATGCCCGTGAGGGGAAGGACAGCTGAAACCATGCCCCTGAGGGGAAGGACAGCTGAAACCATGCCCGTGAGGGGAAGGACAGCTGAAACCATGCATGTGAGTGGGAAGCACGGCTGAAACCATGCATGTAAGTAAGTGGGAAGGACAGCAGCTATGAGGTGTTCGTCAGCCCTTGGCCTGTGCGCTCGTGGCGTGGACATATGTGTGGGAGAGGGCGAGGGGGGGTGAACGGGTTGGCAAGTCGTCGCTCCAGCCGAAACCATGCATGTGAGTGGCACAGCATGCATGTGAGTGGCACGGCATGCATGTGAGTGGCATGGCATGCATGTGAGTGGCACGGCATGCATATGAGTGGCACGGCGTGCATGTGAGTGGCACGGCATGCATGTGAGTGGCACGTCATGCATGTGAGTGGCACGGCATGCATGTGAGTGGCACGGCATGCATGTGAGTGAGTGCCACGGGCATCCATGTAAGACCATGCATGTGTAAGTTTCTCCTTGGCCCATGGTAGCACAGATGAAGGATGAGGGCAAGCATGTGTGGCGGGGTGAGGGAGATGGTGCAAGGACGCTTACAGCCTTACGCCCCTCAGCGCACATCTCCGACACTAGGCTGATCGTCCCCCTCACTCCCCGTCCGTTCCTCTCCTTCCACTCAGTTGCGCCCCTCACAGCACCGCTCTCTGCCCCTCACAGCACCGCTCAAAGCAAGGCTCCCTGCCACTCACTCACTCACTGACCTCAAAAGTCTCTGCTCTGGGCTGCACGTCTCACCTCACGCACAGTGCATCCCACGCACAGTGCATCTCATTGTACACCAACGACTCTTCTCGTATTCTCCTCGCAAGCCATTTCCCACTGCCTCCCTCTTCCCTTCCTCCCCACCCCCGCCCCTCCACTTCCCCCCTCCCCCTTCCCCCCTCCCCCTTCACCCCCCTGCCCCAGCAGGGGTGGCGTCTTGTCCCTGCTGAAGCGCTCAGAGCAGCAGCGCGACCGGCGGAGCATCATCCACGGGCATGCAGACCCAGAAGGCTTCGACATCCCGGGGACTGCAAGATTTATCCTCCCTCCTGCCTCCCCTCTCGCTCCAACCCTGCTCCTCGCTTCCGCCCGTCCCCCCACATCAGTTACGCCCCTCGGAGCACATCTCTCTGCCATGGGGCGCTCTGCTCATCCGCTGCGCCTTCAACTCTTCTATAGGCAGCAACAGCAAAGGAGGCGTCTTGTCGCTACTGAAGCGCTCGGAGCAGCAGCGCCACAGGAGGAGCATCACCCACGAGCACTCAGACCCAGTGGGGTTTGATGTCCAGGGGGCTTCCCCCCTCAAGCTCCACACCTCCAGCATGCCAGTCTTTAGAGAAAAGCCTGGCGGTTTCGATATAATCACATCCCCGCTACAGTATAACCTGAGTTACTGTAGCGGGTCGCTTTTTGGGCATATAGATCCGCGTGCACTTAGTGACTGGATTCGGTACCATTATAAGGTTGTGGGTGTAGAGAAATTCTTTTTGTACGATCACGGGGGGCTTACTGTAGATAATGATACGGCGGCAGCGGTGACGCCTTATGAGGAGACAGGGGTGGTGACTGTAACGAGGATGAAGGGAGGCAGGCACTTTGTGTCGTACTACTCGCATCAGATCTTGAACCACAACGACTGCCTCTACCGCTCCAGGTTCCTCACACGGTGAGCGTGCGGTCCTTTGTTCCTCACACGGTGAGTGTGCGGTCCTTTGTTCCTCACACGGTGAGTGTGCGGTCCTTTGCTCCTCACACGGTGAGTGTGCGGTCCTTTGTTCCTCACACGGTGAGTGTGCGGTCCTTTGTTCCTCACACGGCGAGTGTGCGGTCCTTTGTTCCTGCTCTTTCCTCTGATCCCCCCTTACCCTCCCTTCTACGCCACCAGTTGGCGCCTCCCTCTCTACACTGACTTGGGAGATATTTTCATGCTCCCCAAATCTGTGCTTACCCTTATCCATCCTTTCGCCTCCTCCCACTGTTCGCCCTCCCGTTCACCCCGTTAGGCGGCTGTACACAGACCTAGAGGAGTACATCGTCACGAGTGCTTTGAGGCGACTCTAAGATCAACCTTTTCCCTCCTCTCCCCATTCACCCTCCCATTCACCTCTTCAGGTGACTCTATATACAGACCTGGGCGAGTAAACCTTCGCTCCACGCCCACCACCTTCCTCTCCTGGCCCTCACTTTCCCACCTTCCTTCGTTTCTCTCCCTTCCCTTGACACCTGCCTTTTCACCCATCAGGTGTCTCCATATAGACCTGGATGGGTACATCTTCACGCCACGGCCCAAGCCATCCTGTACCCGCTTCTTTTCGCTCTCGCCATCATCCCATCCTCTTTTGCACATGGCTCCTCTACTCGGACGTAGACGAGTACAACTTGCTCCAGCGCCCTCACTCTTCTTGTTGTCCTCAACGTGTGCTTTCCCCTCTCCATCCTTTCACCTTCTTCTCTTATCTCCCATCCACTGGGCAGGTGGCTGCTCTACTCAGACCTCGACGAGTACATCTTCACTCCACCGCCCTCCACCTTCCTCTCCTGGCTCTCCCGCATCCCTCAAAACGCCTCTTGGGCGAGCATGGGTTCCTACATGTACAGCATCAACACCTGCAGCAAGCTGCACTATGGCAATGCTTCTAACGAGTCAGAGCTCTTAGTGGAGCATCTCCCTTGGAGGGCAGAGCTTCCCAGCTGCCCTGACCGGACAAAAGCGTTCGTCTGCCCTGGGCCTCAGGGCAGGCGGAAACAAGTGGTAGATCCGAGGAGAGTGAACATGGTATCAGTGCACAGGGTAGAAGACCCTTGGGAGGTGTATGGTGTGGATTGGAATGCCTCGTTTGCAGAGCCCACGCCTAAACTGATGCATTTTCAAGGCCTTCCTGTGAGGAAGCCCCCACAGGTGCGGTGTAGAGATGTGAAGGAGGAGGCTGTGGAGAGAGAGACGGTGGAAGACGGGAAGGTTCTAGACTTCACGTTTCGAGACTTTGTTGCACGAGCTGTTAATGAAGTTCGTTAAAGGTGCTTGCTTGCACCGCTTTGGAATGCTTGTGCTGTGAGAGGATCGGTTGCTGCGTCCAAGGGAAGGGAACCTTTTGCAATCCCACAAGTAAACAAAATGGTACAATTGTCCCTCTTGTTGTCCAGAATGGTTCTGGCCTTAGGGAGCTTTCTTACAAAGTAGCATCAGAACTACAATGCTGCAACTTTAACTATGAGGCGCGAATGAACGTGATGCTGTCAGTGGCACCTGTGACAGCATGCAAGAAGGAAGCGTTGAATGGGAGCAGGGGTAGAGAAAGGAAGGAGGCGAAGACAGGAATAAGCTGGAGCAGAGGGAAACGAGGAAGTGGGAGAAGAGTGAGAAGAGGAAGAGGGGGCAGAAGGAAAGGAAGAGGGAGCAGAAGGAAAGGAAGAGGGGGCAGAAGGAAAGGAAGAGGGGGCAGAAGGAAAGGAAGAGGGGGCAGAAGGAAAGGAAGAGGGAGCAGAAGGAAAGGAAGAGGGGGCAGAAGGAAAGGAAGAGGGGGCAGAAGGAAAGGAAGAGGGGGCAGAAGGAAAGGAAGAGGGAGCAGAAGGAAAGGAAGAGGGGGCAGAAGGAAAGGAAGGGGGGGCAGAAGGAAAGGAAGAGGGGGCAGAAGGAAAGGAAGATGGGGCAGAAGGAAGAGGACTGACGCATGGCAAAACAGAGAAAGAGTCTTTCATCGAATGATAGAAGAGGGCAGGACGGGGGGCAGGCAGGAAGGGGCAATGGAGAGAGAGGGAGGGAGAAGCGGGGTGTAAGGAGGGGGGGGGGGGGGGGAGGGGTGGGGCTCTCTTGCGTCTATCCCTTTCAGTCTCCTGACTTCGTCTCACTTGCAGCCAACACACCTTGCACACCCACTATGCTTCACAAAACACCAAAAGTCCTACTCTGCCCCATATGCACCTCCCCGAAGTCCCATCCCCCCCCCCCTCCAATATGCCCTTCCTCTTGATGCCCCTCCCTCCTCCTTCTGCCCTCCCTGCTCCCTCTGCCCTCCCTGCTCCCTCTGCCCTCCCTGCTCCCTCTGCCCTTCCTGCTCCCTCTGCCCTCCCTGCTCCCTCTGCCCTCCCTGCTCCCTCTGCCCTCCCTGCTCCCTCGGCCCTCCCTGCTCCCTCTGCCCTCCCTGCTCCCTCTGCCCTCCCTGCTCCCTCTGCCCTCCCTGCTCCCTCTGCCCTCCCTGCTCCCTCTGCCCTCCCTGCTCCCTCTGCCCTCCCTGCTCCCTCCTCTTCAACACATTGACACTACTGTGCTCCCCTCCCCACCCTCTCACCCTCTCACCCTCCTCACCCTCCTCACCCTCCTCACCCTCCTCACCCTCCTCACCCTCCTCACCCTCCTCACCCTCCTCACCCTCCTCACCCTTCGCACCTTCCCTTTGCCTGAGCCCCTCTCCCTGGTTCCTCCCCTGCCTTTCTGCTTACGTAGCCAAAAGTAGGCACTTCATGGTCAGCGCGTCCAGCCCGGTGCTCCCCCAGCTCCCCCTGCTCCCGCTGCCCTCCCTGCCTCCCCTGCGCCTCCTGCTCCGCCTGCTCCTCAGGCTCCCAGCAATCATCACCACACTCTCGTCGCCCCCTTGTTCCCCTCTCCAGCCGCACAAGGGTGAATTCCTGCAGAGCCCATGCGGCCAGCCTCACAGCCCAGCAACACTCTCCTCGTCACATTGTTACCGTCACCATCAGCACCATCAACACCCACTCTCCCTTCGACTTCGTGTTATGCCTGCTGCTCCCCCCCTTGCCCCCCCTCGTCTTCTCTTCCCTGTTCCTCCCCTTTCTCCTCTCGCTTCGTCCCTCCATCGTCACTGCATCACCCCATCATCACCCCATCATCAACCCATCATCACCCCATCATCACCCCATCATCACCCCATCATCACCCCATCATCACCCCATCATCTCCCCCATCACCCCCGTCACCCCCATTCGTCCCATCAGCTTTATCCCCCCAATCCGCCCCATCCCCCCATCCCCCCATCCCCCCATCCCCCCCATTAGCCCCATCACCAGCACCTACTGCCTCCTCTGCAGCTTCCCCCACCCCCTTCTCCACCTCCTAGACGTCCTCTCCTACTCCCCCATCACCCCCATCACCCCCATCACCCCCATCACCCCCATCACCCCCATCACCCCCATCACCCCCATCACCCCCATCACCCCCATCACCCCCATCACCCCCATCACCCCCATCACCCCCATCACCCCCATCACCCCCATCACCCCCATCACCCCCATCACCCCCATCACCCCCATCACCCCCATCACCCCCATCACCCCCATCACCCCCATCACCCCCATCACCCCCATCACCCCCATCACCCCCATCACCCCCATCACCCCCATCACCCCCATCACCCCCATCACCCCCATCACCCCCATCACCCCCATCACCCCCATCACCCCCATCACCCCCATCACCCCCATCACCCCCATCACCCCCATCACCCCCATCACCCCATCACCCCCATCACCCCCATCACCCCCATCACCCCCATCACCCCCATCACCCCCATCACCCCCATCACCCCCATCACCCCCATCACCCCCATCACCCCCATCACCCCCATCACCCCCATCACCCCCATCACCCCCATCACCCCCATCACCCCCATCATCGCCACCTACTCCATCCTCAGCAGCTTCCCCCACCCCCACCCCCCTCTCCACCTCTTTGGCTCCCTCTCCTACTCCCCCATCCCCCCCATCTCCTGCATCCCCCACACCATCCCCCATCTCTTTCTCCACACCTCCCGCCAAGTGCCCTTCCCCAACATCCCCACTGCATACGTCCCCACAACCCCCCTCATCTCCCACACAACCCCCCTCATCTCCCACACAACCCCCCTCATCTCCCACACAACCCCCCTCATCTCCCACACAACCCCCCTCATCTCCCACACAACCCCCCTCATCTCCCACACAACCCCCCTCATCTCCCACACAACCCCCCTCATCTCCCACACAACCCGCCATCTCCCACTCCGTCCCTTCCATCAAGTGCCGTCCCCCACCTGCCTCACCTTCCCCACCTCCCCCACTGCTTATAACCCCGTGATCCCCCTCATCGCCTGCACCATGCTCCTCATCGCCTGCACCATGCTCCTCACCCCCTGCACCATGCTCCTCACCCCCTGCACCATCCCCCATCTCCCTCTCTAGCTCTTCCGCCAAATCAGCCACCAGATCATCCAAACTCATCTCCTCTCCCCCGTCCTCTCCCCCGTCCTCTCCCCCTTCCTCTCCCCATTCCCTTCCCCCATGCCCTCCCCCGTCTTCTCTCTCCTCCAAGCCACCAGAGCCCCTCTGCCTGTCCGCAGCTGCCCGTGCTGCCGCTGCTGCTCTGACTGCAGGCGGTGCCTCTGCTTCTGCTAGGATCTCCATCATACTCGCCTCATCCACCTGAACGGGGGGAGGAAGTAAAGAGGTTAGGAATAACTGTCCCAGTACAGGTGTTCCTGCTGCTGCTGCCGCTGCTGCTCTGACAGCAGGGGGCGCCTCTGCCTCTGCTAGGATCTCCATCATACTCGCCTCATCCACCTGCAGAGGAGAGGAAGCGGGGGAGAGAGAAAGGGAAGGTCGAAAAGGTGAATGGCAGGTCTAGGCGTGCCTGCTGCTGCTCCTCTGACTGCAGGGGGCGCCTCTGCTTCCGCTAGGTTCTCCTTCATACCTGCCTCATACCTGCCTCATACCTGCCTCATATATGCCTCATACCTGCCTCATACCTGCCTCATACCTGCCTCATACCTGCAGAGAAGAGGAAGTGTGGGGAGGAAGGAAAGAACTGAAGGATAAATGGCATGGTGGACTCAAGGCGTGCCTGCTGCTGCTACTGCTGCTCTGACAGCAGGGGGCGCCTCTGCCTCTGCTAGGATCTCCATCATACTCGCCTCATCCACCTGCAGAGGAGAAAGGAAGTGGGGGAGAGAGGGAAGGCAGAAAAGGTGAATGGAAGATCTAGTCGTGCCTGCTGCTGCTGCTGCTCTGACTGCAGGAGGGGCCTCTGCCTCGGCTAGGATCTCCTTAGACATGGGCATAAGGCCGAGCCGGCCCGAACCTAGCCCAAGCCCGGGTCTATCCGGCCCGAGACACCTCGAGCCAGGATGCAAAATTCCCTGGCTCGACTCGCCCAAAGAAGGACGAGCCAGGGCCCTGCTCAAAATCGAGCTGGCTTGGCTCAGCTCGACTGGGGCAGATTGCAGCAGCACTGTTAGCCAAGTGGTAATTCTGTGTGTACAGGGTTTCAGAGGGTATGGGGTCGGTTAGGTTTGAGGTTTGCGCAAATTTTGAATGCTCCTTCCTGATGGAATGAAGAACCCTGAAACCCCAACCCAGCCCCGCCAGCTAGGTCTAAGATGCGTTAGGCGTGCGGCTGATATCCAGGAGAGCGGGGAGGAGCCTTAAGGCTTGACGCCTAAGGAGCAACCATATGCTACTTAGGCGAAGGACATGGGGTGGGCTAGGGCTAGGTATTGTCTTGCTTTGCTGGTTGGGAAATCAGGAATTTGAAAAGGGAAATGCGTTTCCAACTAAGTCACCTTATTTAACCCTAGGGGGCAAATGTCGCGGGCTCCCGTCGAGCCACGCGCAGCTCGATTTCGAGCCGGCTCGGACTCAGCTCGACGCATTCACGACTGTCGAGCCGAGCCGAGTCGCCGGCTCGACAGGCTTGGCTCAAGTCGAGCAGGGAAAAATAATACCCCTGCTCGGCTCGCCAAAAAGGCGAGGCGAGCCCGGCTCGGCCTTATGCCCATGTCTAATCTCCAATCATACTCGCCTCATCCACCTGACAGGGGGAATGACAGGGAGGGTGAACATAGGATACGGAGATAGGTGCAACTGTCAAAACGCCTCGTTCTGCCTCTGTTGGGATGTTCTATCATGCTCCGATGTGTTTGTTCTTGAGAAATCTCAAAAACAAAACACGCCTCCGCGAGGATGTTCTATCATGCTCCACTCATCCACCTGAAAGGGGGAATAGTAGGGAGAGGTAAATATCGGATAAGTAGGCAACGACAACTCTACAACGGCCTCACTCTGCCACTTGAGAGACATCGTTTTGCATCTGCTAACATCTCCATCATACTCGGCTCGTCCTGCATCTGCTAGCACCAGTAGAAATGGTAAACGGGAGCAGAGGGAAAACAACACTGCAGATGTCCTAGGGTGGTACAGTTGTGCTTGTTCTGCCCGTGAGAGGTGGGGGGGTTCCCATCAGCCTCGATTATGCTGCTGCTGCATCTCCATAAGAATGAAGCCGCAGGGGTGAAGGTTGCGTTCAGCTACTTGTCCGGCAAGCCCAAGGAGGTCCAACTCGATTTCAAATAGACAACTGCAGCCACCGCCACCGCCACCGCCACCACCGGCAGCTCAGGAGTGGAGCTCCACCTCGTGTGCCGCCACTACCATTCCCCACCCCGTGCTCTCAACAAGCAGCAGGCTGGCGGTTTGCTGCAGCATGAGGCGCACTCGCGGCGGCAGCGGCAGCGGCAGCGGCAGCGGCAGCGGCGGCGGCGGCGGCGGCGGCGGCAGTGGCTCTGGTTGTCTTTTTTAAATCGAGCTGGGCCTTCTTGGACTCGCTGGACAAACAGCCGAACGCCTCTGCTACGTACTTGAACGCGAACTCCACCTCTGTGGCTACAGCAGCAGCAGCGCCTTCTTCCTAGAGATGGCAACTGGAAGAGGCGAACAAAGGGGGGTTCGTGATGCCTTGCTCCGCCCGTGCGAGGACTCCCATCACACTTGCTTCGTTCCTCCTGGAAGCAAGAGGCCCCAACCTGGCCACTCTGGAGCCCGATTCACCCATGCATTAACAGCTCCACCTGATTCAACCGGGCTATAAAGTGGGCTCTTAAAGGGGCTGTCTGTGAGATTGAGTGAACTTCAAAAAGTTGATTAGGAAGGAGAGCACACAGGCTTACATATGAATGAGAAGGAAAGGAGAAGGGGGGAGGAAGGGGGGGTTGCTGGTTGGGTCCCTATGCCAACATCATTGTCCCCACCAATGAGGTGGGTTGACCGACTTATTGGTAACCCCAAAAATGTTGGCTTGAGTGGCCAGAATTATTGGGGGGGGGCAATAATTGGGAACCCAACCTGTTGGGGGCCAATGATGGCAAGGATGGGAACCCAACTTTGGGAACCCAATCCCAACTAGGGTGGTTAACCCTAGTTTACACCCAACACTAATCAAACCTGTTATGTCTATCCAAACAATCTAGTCTATGCAGGATAAGAATAGATAGATATTCTAACACTGTCAACAGGGCTGTCGACCGGGGCTGTTGAGACAGACATCTCTCTTGCTCTTGGGACATATGAATTAAAGACACCTCATTTCGAGACGCCTCAAAGAGGGGAATTGTCGTCCCTGCTGATGGGGTTGCATGCATGCAGCTCAGAAATTTCAGCTGTTGTAACACACACAGGTCATGCAGCCTAAGCCACCTGCAACGGTCACAGCTTGCAACGCTTCTACTACCTGCATACCATGCTGCTGATGGGGAGGTCTTACTTGCACCAGCTCATGCACCCACCTGCAACACATGCAACGCATGCACGCCACCCACCCACCTGCAACACATGCATCTCATGCACCCACCTGCAAGACTTGCAAAAATACATCAACATGCAGGAAGGATGCATGAAATTTGCGGATGATGAGCTGATCTGTACCAGAACCATCTCACGCATCCACCTGCAGTACATGCATCGCATGCTCCCACGTGCAGCACATGCATCGCATGCTCCCACATGCAGCACATGCATCGCATGCTCCCACGTCCAGCACATGCATCGCATGCTCCCACGTGCAGCACATGCATCGCATGCTCCCACGTGCAGCACATGCATCCTATGCTCACACGTGCAGCACATGCATCGCATGCATGCTCCCACCCCACCTACAGCACGTGCATCTCATGCATGCTCCCACCCCACCTGCAGCACGTGCAGCTTCTCTCGGATCTTGTGCTTCAGCGCTGTGATTGCCGCCACCTCCTCCCTCATCACCCTGCGAGGGGTGCAGACAATAATGAGGGAGGGCGTAATACGGGTGGTTGGGTTGGGTTGATGCACCAATCAGCGCTGCGAATGCCACTACTTCCTGCCTCAACACCCTGCGAGGTGCGAGCACACGAATGAGGGGCAAGGGGGTTGACTCTCGAGCGACTCAAATGGTGACGACAGCAATGAGGGGCAAGGACTGTTGTCCGTGCTGCCACCTCCTCTCTCACGTCACCACCCTGCAAGGGGCGAGCGCCACAATGAAGGAGAGGCACTGATGGGAAGTAAGCAACGGCCTTCTTGCCCCAATCAGCGCAGCTAGTGCTGCCACCTCCTCCCTCACCAAGGGGTGAAGATGGCAATGACGGGTAAGGGGGTTGACTCTTGAGCCCACTCAAACGGTCAAGTCAGCAACGAGGGGCAAGGGTTGTTTTTCTTGCCCCATTCTTTCCGTCACCGGCTCCGCTCGAGTTGAGCCCGGCCGAGCCCAGCGAGCTGGGCAGCTTGGCCCGGCCCGGCTGGACATGCTTTTTTATTCGAGCCGGGCCGAGCTGGGCTCGATTTCGAGCCGGACACGGCTCGCCGTACAGACGTGACACTTGTCAGGGGGCGGGGGTGGGGGTGTTGGGGGAGGGGTCAAATGTCGAAATGGGGAAGACGTAATTTCCATTTTGGTGTTGTGTCTTCCCCATTCCCAATTGGCCCTTTGTATTACGTAAAGGAAGGGGACAGACAAGGCACATGGACATGCACAAAGGTGAGTGCTAACAGCCCGGGCCGGAGGACCCTAAGGGCCCCCCAGCACCGGCTCAAGGACTTGAAGAAGATCTCCCACGGGCAGCGGCTCCGCACGTCCACCCCAAGGTGACTCCTCGGCCGCCAAGGCGTGGTTGATGTTGATGTTCAGAGCCACCGCTGGTGGTCAGAGCCACCGCTTGCCCCCGCTGCAAAGTGACAGACCACTGCTGCCGATACTCATGGAAGTGCTTGGCAGCTTCGCGCGAGGTAGGTGCGGCGTTGTGCCATTCCCTACTTAATTCATAACCCTAGTCCACCCAAGCCCATCCCCATTCCTCACCAAAGGCTCCTGCACAGTTGCTTAACCATTTCGGCGATAGAATAGTTAAGGAGCACTAGGGTAGGGTAGTCTAGCGTATTCAGAGCTGTGTTTGGCGCGTTTAGGGCTTTGTGGCGAAATTTCCGCCGCGAACGGACGCAACTCTGCCGTACGGCCTCTTTGCACCGGGCTACACCACGAGTACCAACGTTTAGGCCGCTCCCCTTCCTTCGCCCCACCTAAATCCATACTTGACGAGCTGGGCTCGAAATCGAGCAAGCCCCTAGCTCGACCCTATTTTGGCAGGCTGAGCTGGCAAATTTTCGTGACCGTCTCGACCAGGCTCAGGCTCGGCTCGGCGCGTCTAGCTGCCGGCTCAACCCCGGCTCGGCTTGGACTCAGCTCGGACTCAGCTCTTCTCATTCCATGCCCGTGTCTACCTCACTCAGCCTGCAAGGGAAGACTGCGACGCTAAACAATGAGGGAGAAGGATAAGGGGGTAGGGATTTGGGGGGTAGGAAACGGGGGCTAGGGGTTGGGGTTTAGGAACTAGGGTATTGGGATTGGGGGGAAATGATTAGGGGGTGGGGATTGGGGGGAAATGATTAGGGGGTGGGGATTGGGGGGAAAGGATTAGGGGGTGGGGATTGGGGGGAAAGGATTAGGGGGTGGGGATTGGGGGGAAAGGATTAGGGGGTGGGATTGGGGGGAAATGATTAGGGGGTGGGGATTGGGGGGAAATGATTAGGGGGTGGGGATTGGGGGGAAATGATTAGGGGGTGGGGATTGGGGGGAAATGATTAGGGGGTGGGGATTGGGGGGAAAGGATTAGGGGGTAGGGATTGGGGGGAAATGATTAGGGGGTGGGGATTGGGGGGAAAGGATTAGGGGGTGGGGATTGGGGGGAAATGATTAGGGGGTGGGGATTGGGGGGAAATGATTAGGGGGTGGGGATTGGGGGGAAATGATTAGGGGGTAGGGATTGGGGGGTAGGGATTGGGAGGTAGGGATTAGAGGCTAGGAACTGGGCGGGGGTAGGTAGTAATTGAAGGGCGTCACTCGCCCCCTCTCTCTCTCCCCACCTCCTCTACTGACCTCACCCTAGCAGCACGGCACTGGGAGTGTCTTTTCTCCTTCTGAGTCGGCACGGCAAAGCACCTCACATCACAGTCCTCAACTCAACTTCTTGCCTTCTCTCCCCACCTCCTCTACTGACCTAACCTGCGCAGAACGGCTGTGGGTGTCTTCGCCCCTTCTCCCTTTCTCCCCATCTCCCTTTCTCCCCTCACCTCCTCACCTCCTCACATCCTCACCCCTCCCCTCCTCACATCCTCACCCCTCCCCTCCTCACATCCTCACCCCTCCCCTCCTCACATCCTCACCCCTCCCCTCCTCACATCCTCAACCCTCACCTCCTCACATCATCATCCCTCACCTACTCACCCTCCTCGCCTACTCCCGTTCTCCCCTCACCTGAGCGCCACGGCGGTGGAAATGTCTTCTCCTCTCAACTTCTCACATCAACTCAGCTCTTTTCCTCACCCACTCGCCTCAACTCAAACTGTCACCTCACTTCCCCATCCCCTTCCGCCCCTCACCTGAGCACCACCTATGTTGGAAAATATGCGTATTGCGTTTTATACGCAAGCGTATATACGCTATACGTTTGGGTTTGGGGTCCAATACGGCAGGAATACGGCTGCCCGGGCAGCGGAATTTTTTTGCCCGGGCAGGCAAGAAAAAACCGGCGGGCAGCCGGGAGAGCGGGGGGTAGGGGCCCCGGGGGTGGGGAGGGGGGGGGGGGCGGGGGGCAGGGCATGAAGGTTTTTTTTTTGAAAGCATGGTTAAAAAAAAAAAAAAAAAAGTCTGTTGCCTTGCCGTCCGCGTTAAGCGCGGTTTCGAAATGCTTAAAAATAGGATGCGAAGCATCCGTTACGTAAACAATGGCGGAGGAGGAGGAAGCCTCGCCAACGTTAATAGGAGCAGGCACGCTAGCGGGGGTTGATGGGGTAGACGCCATGACCACTAGAGAGAAGAATGAATAGAACTAAGCCAAGCTAAGCAAGGGGAGGAAGAGCTTGGAGTTCAAAAATGAAGAGAGATGGTGCTTCAGATCTGAAGGATGGCGGGGAATGGGTGGGACGACAAACACGGGATGCCTTCCATCCACGTCCACACCTGGTGCGGGGGTGGGCGAAAATTTGAGATTTCGCAATGTGAAAAAAAAAAATGAATTTCATTTTTGTTTTTCCGCCGGACAGCCCGGGTATCGCGTATCGCGCATTCCAAGCGTATCAGCGTATTGCGTATATTCACTAGCGTATATACACTATACGCTAAGCCTTCCGAGCGAATTTTCCAACATAGAGCACCACGGCGGTGGAAATGTCTTCTCCTCTCAACTTCTCACATCAACCCAGCTCCTTACCTCGCCTCAACTCAAACTGTTACCTCACTTCCCCATCCCCTTCCTTCCCATCCTCACCTGAGCAGCACGGCAGTGCGAATGTCGGCCATTGCTGGAGGGGGGGTCTGCGCGCCTTACTTCCCTCTCTCCCTCTCCACCACCCCCTTCCGTTCTCCCCTCACCTGAGCAGCACGGCAGTGCGAAGTCGGCCATCGCCGGAGGGGGATCCGCGCGCCTTTCCTAAGCGCCCCCGCGCCCATTTCATCTATTGTCCCCGCCTCCCCCCCTCCCCCCCTCCCCCCCTCCCCGCCTCCCCGCCTCCCCGCCTCCCCGCCTCCCCGCCTCCCCGGCTCCTCACCTCCCCACCTCCTCACCTCCCCACCTCCCCACCTCCCCACCTCGTCACCTCCCCCCCCCCCCTCACCTCCTCACCTCCCCACCTCTTCTCCGCCTCACCCCCTCTGCTGAGCTCACCTCAGCAGCACCGCGGTGGGAATGTCGGCCATCGCTGGAAGAGGCGCCGCGTAGAGTCTCGAAACGGGTGCACGCGGGAATCTCCTAAGAGGCGCCTCTAGGAGCGCCGGGGGGGAGCTCCGACGAATGGGGGCATGCAGAAATCCAATTCGGGAAGGTTCTGGATAATGCGCCGCTTCTGTAGCGTCTTCCAATGAAGGCGGCTGGCTGGCTGACGGCTGGCCGGCTGACGTCTGGTCGGCTGACGGCTGGTCGGCTGACGGCGAATGAGTGTGGATGCGGATGGGGCCTCAACGACGGGTCAGGGACGGGTGTGTGCGATCGCTTCTGTAGCCGGCGTCAGTAAAGATGGCCAGCCGGCTGACGGCGCTTCAAGCGGATAGGGATGAGGCCACAGACGGCGCAGGGATGGCGATCGCCGCTTTGTGTAGCCGGCGTCAGTGAAGACGGCTGGCCCAGGCGGGTGGCGAGGCGAGGACCGAACGATGCGGCGAAAATCGCCGACGTGAGAACAGAACAGCCGCGAAAGGCCGTAGTGGTAAAAATCTAAGCGGAGAAAGGCGGTGGTGACGGCCGGCCTCTCTGAATGGTGCTGACGGACGGCGTGTCGGAAGCAGGAACTACAAAACCACACGAAGGGCATTTCCAAAGTGTCGCAAGAGGATTTCGGCACAAGTTGTGTTATGAATAATAACTCAGAGTGCGCGGAATCATAACCACGAGTACAAGAATGCTAGCCTAGCATTATATAGCCTAGGCGACGAGCCTGGAGGGCTTGGTTGGGTAAAGGCATGGTCGAAAGGTTCGGAGGCGGCGCGGGCTCGCCTCGGGGTCGCCTCGGAAACGGACCGAGCCTGGTCTTCCGAGAGTTCGGGTGTACGCGTTTGCAGTGCAACCCGGTAAGGAATAAAATTCCTTACACTACCCCCCCTCTTAAGGAAGGTGATCATCATCGGGAACGCCTTTCGGGTCAAATAAGATTTGAGCACCGAGTGTTCCTGAAGCGATTCGGAAGTGACCCACGTGTCGTCTTCACTTGTACGATCGACCCAGCGAACAAGGAAATCCACGTGTCGTCCTGTTGTGTCGAGGCGGACGCGATGACTCAAAAGCCGGAAAGGCTCAAGGGTCGGTTCTGCCATCGGGCGGACACTTGGGGCGGCCGCTGGTCGTGCGATTGCGGACGTGCTGGCGACGTAGGGACGAAGCAGGCTGACATGGAAGGCGTCGTGAATGCGCCACTTGTCCGGAAGTAATAACTTCGCCGTGACAGATGTCACCATTATGAGAATACGGAAAGGCCCACAGAATCGTGGTCGGAGTTTTGAAGGCAGGGGCAGGCGAAGGTTCGTGTCGAGAAGGACTAGTTGCCCAGCGACCATCGTGATATCGCGGCGATGAAGGTCGGTATAGCGTCGAGCGGTTGTGTTGGACTTGCGAATGAATTCGATCGCTTTTTCCCGGGCAGCTTGTAATCTGGTAACGAACTGCTGGGACCGTGGCACGGGGTTGTCGATGTGGGTTGTCGTCGGTACCGTTGGATCCATCCCGTAGTTGAGGAAGAACGGCGAGTGATTAGTTGTAGTGGATGGGGCGTTGTTGTAGGAAAATTCTAGCATGGGCAGGGATTCCTCCCATCGAGAAGGGTCTCGGCAGTTGGTGCGTATCAGCTCCTCCATGGTTTGATTGGTTCGCTCCGTTTGGCCGTCGGTTTGAGGATGGTAGGCTGATGAAAATTGGAGTCGGGTGCCGTACTGTGCCCATGTCACTTGCCAGAACTTAGACGTGAACTTTGGGTCGCGGTCGCTGATGATCGCTGATGGCAGGCTGGCAGTAGAACGACGGTGGCGATGAAAAGCTGTGCTGTGTCTTCGGCTGTGATGGTTGTGCGATAGGTTGCGAAGTGCGCCATCTTCGTCAGTCGGTCGACGACGACGAGGACGGCATTGTTGCCAGTCGGACCGGCTGGGAGCCCCGTGACGAAGTCCATCGTCACGTGTTGCCACGGTCGCTGGGGTGGCTCGAGCGGTTGGAGTAGTACAGCTGGCCTCTGTCGAGAAGATTTCATGCGTTGGCAGGTCGGGCACGCTGAAACGTATCTCTGCACATCAGACGCCGAATCAGGCCAATAATAAAAACAGTGAAGTAATTTCTGGGTTTTGTCAACCCCGAAATGACCGGAGAGATTGGAATCATGGACTTCTTGAATAAGTAATTCGCGGAGGAGTCAGTGGGCGCGAACCCAGATACGGTCAGTACCGGCTTTTAGGAAGTAGGGTCCTTTGGCCGTGATGACTTGCTGATGGAGGTTGTGGGTGAAAAATGGGTCTGTGGTGTAGCCATGGGTAAATAGGCCAGTGAGCAGCGGGTTGGATTTTGCGACGATGATGGAGGCGGTGGGCGGACGGTCTTGTCAGCGCGTCGGCGATGTTATTCGCCCCGCGTTTGTACGTAATGGTGTAGTGGAAGTTGCTTTCGAGGAAGTCCAGCCAGCGAATCTACCGTGGATTGAGGTTCCGCTGCGCGCGGAGGTACTGTAGGGATTTGTGGTCTGTCCGTACTGTCACGTCAGCCTTTGTCAGGTAGCAGCGCCATGCTTTGAACGCGTGCACGATGGCGAGCATTTCCTTGTCGTGGACGGGGTAGTTGCATTCTGCTGCCTGCAACTTCCGGGACTCGTACGCGATTGGTTGGAGTCCTTCGCCGAAATCCTGTAATAGTATCGCACCGATAGCGAAATTCCTAGCGTCCGTCAAGACTTCGAACGTTTGAGATGGGTCAGCGATTCGGAGAACCGGGGGTGACATCAGAAAATTTCAGAGGTCGTCGAAAGCAGTCTGCTGTCTCTCCCCCCACTCGAACGTGGTGCCCTTCCGCAGTAGGTCAGTTAACGGTCCGACTATCCCTGCCATATTGGGGATAAAATGTCGGACGTAATTAACGAACCCAAGAAAAGTTTGCAGCTCCTGTAAATTCGTCGGCAGCTTCCAGTCGTGAATGGTGGTGATTTTCTTCGGGTCAATTTTGATGACGTCCGCTCCCACGACGTGTCCCAAAAATTCCAGTTCGGATTTTAGGAACTCGCACTTAGAGCCTTTCATGATGAGCCGGTTGTCTTGCAGTCGTCGAAAGACCTGCGCGAGGTCCTTGAGGTGCTGTTCGCGTGTCTTGCTGAAGATCAAAATGTCATCGAGATAGACGATGACACACTTGTCGAGTAGATCGCGGAACACGGCATTCATGGTGAGTTGGAACGTGGAGGGCGCGTTCGTGAGGCCAAACGGCATCACTGTGTAATCGTAGCTGCCATAGTGGGTTCGGAACGCCGTCTTGTGGCATTCGTCAGCGAAGACTCGGATCTGATGGTAACCACCGCGTAAGTCAATTTTCGAGAAGAAGCGAGCCCCCGAAGTTGATCGAGAAGGTCGTCCGCACGTGGGATTGGGTAGCGAGACTTGATGGTTCACCGATTCAGCACCCGGTAGTCAATGCACATTCGTAGCCCTCCGTCTTTTTTGGGCGTGAACAAGATCGGCGCTGCGAACGGGGACGTGCTGGGTCGAATGAACCCTTTCTCCAATAGGTAGTCCAGCTGGCTTCTCAATTCCGTGAGCTCGGGCTGAGTCAGCCGCCACTGGGTTCTGACGGTTGGCTACGCGCCGGGTTCCAGGTCGATTTTGTGGTCCTGGGGGCGCTCGGGTGGCAATCCCGCTGGCATATCATCCTGAAAAATATATGGGTACTGTCGAATCAGCACAGCGAGCTCGGCAGGGACACATGCACAAAGTGTGTCAATGTCTTTTGGCGTGTCCTCGACCGACGCTTCGGCCAGATGGACGGCGTACAAATCAGCTCCCCGTTTATCTGCCCGCTGGAGGGTGATGGCATTGACACGTGTCGACACTGGATCTTTCCCACGCCAGCACGGAAGTACGCGCCAACCATTCGCACAGTGCACGCTGCATTTGCCAGTTGTCCAGTCGATCCGTGGGTTGTATTTTCGCAGCCAATCACATCCGAGAAGAATATCGCAGCCGTCCAGCGTTGTCGCCAGCAGGGGCATGCTGAATCATAAATCGTCGCCACACCTCATCCGCACCATGCGCGCTCGTTCCCGTATTGCAAGTGGGGTTCCGTCCACCAGTCGCGCGTCGATTTTGGGTAGACATCTCTCCAGCGTCAGCTTCACCTGCTTCGCTGTTGTCACGTGTATGAGACTGTGACTAGCCCCGCCATCCACAAATAACTTTTTTTTTTTGCCGTTCACCTTGCCTTCGACCAATACAGGGTGATCTTCAGGTTCGCCCCCGTTATTCGTCCGAGTGCGGTCAATAGCGTGTATCCGTACCACCACTTGGTGGGAGCGTTGAAGTTCGGGCGACAAAGCCTCGTCAGTAGGGGGCCCGTCTACTACTGACTTTTCCCATTTCCAGGCTTCTCCTTGTCGTTCTTCGTCTTCTTGGGCGCCGTCGGACAGTACTTAGCTCGGTGACCTGGCTTGTCACATCGATAGCATAGCCCGTGAAATGTTTCATCGAGCGCTGACACGCCATTGATCGTGGGGCGGGGAGACTGTCCACGAAAACGACCAACATCCCTGTTGTTCTTTCTCGCCCACTGCTGCAGTGCATCGGCTGCTGACGCCTGCTAGACAGCATCATCGAGCGTCTTGGAACGGGACCGCTGCAACTCGTACTGAATCTCAAAATGCAGCCCGCTGATGTATTTGTCCCACCTTTCCGCTTCGCTGAGGTCGTCCACTTGGTCCGCAAGTGCCGAGAACGACGCAGTGTAATCTTGAACAGTAGTCACCGGCCGCCAGTTGCGCAGCTTCATGCGAGCGTCGTCTGAGGCGGATGAGTGCTCCAAACGAGCTCATAGAGCTGTGCCCCACTGTTTCCACGTGCAAATCGTGGTCGTCCCGAATATCATTTCTGCCTGTTGGTTTGAAGAATCCGAAGTCCCGTCCTTCGCCTGCTTCACTTCTGTTGGAGTCCCGATCGCCAACTGTCATCGCCACAATCCAACGCCGGTCCTCGGAGCAGAGACACGGCATAATAAATGCGCGCGTCGTCTGTATGCACACTTGCCACCGTGAAGAACAACTCCATGCTGAACAGCCACCCTTGCACCGTCGTCGCCTTGTCCGAGGGGTTGAACGGGGGCGGTGTGGCTGGCTTGAGTTTAATCTTCGTCACGGTCACCGTGCGCACGTCATCCTGCTCCAACTCCCGTGCGAGCTCGTCAAAGGTCTGTCTCGCTCGCTGCGTCGTCGGCTTCTAACTTGACATTGTCCTCTGCGACTCCAGGCGACTCCTGACGCGCTTCCCCATTCGTCTGGCGAAGCTCGGTGTTCTCCGTCCGAAGTCTCACGACTTCATTGTTCAAACTCGCCATCTGGGCTTGCATTGCCTGCATCTGAGCCATGACCTCATCTAGCTGGGCCTGAGACATGATGCGGATGCTACACCTTTCGGGCAGGGGGAAGGCCGTGGTAAGAAACCGCAGGGGGCGCAAACGCTATCGTAGTTGTGTGAGCGAATAACTCTAGCTCACTGACAACCACTTTGCAGCCCCGCAGGGTTAACCACGCCTTGGAAATAATATACCTTGAGAAAACAGGGTGAACCAGGAAAGTGGCTCTGATACCAGATGTGATGAATAATAACTCAG